TATATATACCCAAAAGATAGATAAATAAGTAAGATTTAGATTATAAATAGTAAGAAAGATTAAACTGTGACTCAGAAGTAATATCATAGGAAATTATAAGATAAATGCATATAAAATTGAAATTGAAAGTTTGAAAACTGATAAAGTAAAGTGTATCAAACGTTGCCATGTCAGAAACTATATGTAAATATTTTTTGATGTGACACATTTACACTGTTAGTTCTAAAACTTTCAATTTCAATCTTTAATTAACTATATTTTACTTTTGTGTAATATTATTTTAATTTTTGAATCGCAGTTTAATTTTTCTTGATCTTTCGAAACAGTAAAATATTGTGTATAATATTATGTATATTACTTTTGTGTGATATTTTAATTTCTGACTTGTCGTTTAATTCTTCTTACTATTTATAATCTGACATCTACTATCTTTTTCGGGTATACAGGGATATACTATCAATTTTACTGAAAAACTGTAAGAGATGAAATTTGTTCATTTTCTTCTTATAGAACTCTCTGAATTTTTTCAGAATTTTTATCAACTTTTTGCTGCATTTTCTCAATTTTATCAACATAAGAAAATGATATTTGAGTAAACAATTATTAAAGACCAATTTTCGGTAATTTTTAGCAATTAATATTTTGTTAACTATTGCGAGAATTGCAAAATGGTAAAGGACTTGCCATCTCAGTTTAGTCCGCTCTACATATCACGAACTCCGTCAGAACAATTATCGGACATCTAGAATATATTATATATCTTCTTTGACGCTCCTTTGATGCACTCTATTATATATAATTTGTACTATTCACTCTAAATCTGGCACTTTTTTCATCACTCTTTAATGGAGAAATGATTAACCATCTCACATGCATCGCAGTCACTTAGATTATAATGCGCAAAAGAGCATATATGTATTTGTATCTCTAATTTCTTTAATCTATTCTAATAGATTAAAATTAGCTGAAATGTTTTTCAATGTAATCTTAAGTTATTACGTATTAAATTTCATTATATGAAAAAGCATACTATTGGGTTGTCCGGAAAGTTCATGCCGATTTTGAAGGAAAATTTAAACGCAGAAGATTTAAATTTTAGTATACATTTATTAAATTTAAATCTTTTGCGGCATGAACTTTCCAGCGTGGATATTTACAGCGCGATTCCTATAGATCATTTTTTTTATTTTTTAAATAATTTTTAATTCTTAGTAATCTTATTTATCTATTTATAAACTTTTAAATTATGTTTAAAAATAATCATAAACATTTTAGTTGTCACTGGCTCAACTGACGGTATTGGTAAAGCTTATGCTAAAGAATTAGCAGCAAGAAACATGAATCTAATATTAATCAGTAGAAACTTAGAAAAATTTAAACATACAAAAGATGAGATGCTGTTAATAAATTCAAAAATCCAGGTGAAAATTCTTGCGGCGGATTTCGCTGAAGGAAAAGATGCTTTTACCAAAATCCATTCTCTTTTGCAAGATATTTCCGTTGGTATATTAGGTAATTAAATTAATTATTATTCTCACTGTAACAATTTGGTAGTTGTAGTTCATGGCCAACACAAGATTAGAAAAAAATTACTAAACATCCATGCATGAACTGTATTTTTGAAATATAAGTTTTTTGGAAAAAAAAGTTTTAGCTTGTTAAAAAATAATATTATATAACTCTAATTATTAAAAATCACTTTTTGTTTAGTTAAAATTCATTTTAATATTATTTTAACATTATCATGATTAACATTATTATTCTGCTTGGATATATTTTGCAATTTCCAAAAACAGTTTTGATTTCTATTGATTTCTATGACAATAAAATCTAACTATAAAATAAATTTAATATAAATCAATATAAATCAATTTTTTACAATCTATTATTTTTGAAAGTGATATAACTTGCTGTCAACATAAATATTTTTTACTTAAGTAATGCTTATAAAAATTAAATAATAATATAGTAAAATTATGTTTCTCTTAATGCCCGATTTGGTACATTTGCGAGTTGATAACGTCAGCTAAAAATATCAGATACTAGCTATATGTTCTGGTAATTATACTTTCCGCTAATATGTGGATAAGTCACTAAGATACGGAAAAAAAGTAGATCCAACATCGGCTTGATCGACAAAATTTATTAGTACGAGAAAAGAGAAATAATATAAAATAAAGTAAATAAATAAAATACGAGAATGTCAAATTTATATGAATTGATATTCAACTGATTCTATTCATTCCAATAAGTAATATCATGTTGTTCATCAAGATCAAGAAATTCAAGAAATCTTGTCTTGATTTTATCTTGAATCAAAATAAGACTTAAACAAGAAATTGAAAATTGATTTCAAAGCAAGACAAGAAATTGTTATCAAGACCAAGATTTCTTGATAATAAGTCAAGAAATTTCTTGAAATTTCTTGAATTTCCGTGACAGTTTTTATTTTTAATATTTTATTTTTAATATTTTATTATTTTAATATTTTATTATTTTATTTCTGATTCGAAAAGTTTTGAATAAGTTAGGTTTCAACATTTCCAGTTGTATTTATTGGTATTTAATAGGTTATATAATATAGAAATGTATATTCATAACAATTTCACTAAATAGCAAAATAGCATATATGAGCAGAATGTAAATCGATTATTGAAAAAGTGAAGTTTCTGATTTACTAAATTAAATCATACATCTTTGTTGTACCAGATATTAACTTTTACATTTAGAATAATAGCCTAATTTGCAAGCTACTATTATCTATTGTATTTATGTTTTTATTAACTGTAGTCCATTGTATCATATTTTATATCTATTATTTTGTTAATATGTAATCTTTTTCATGTAATTTTGCAATAAACTAAAAAAAATTAAAATTAAAATTAAATTAAAAT